TAAAAATCATAAATAAAAAGACAATAGAATTTACAAAATTTTTAAGATTAAGAATTCAAAAGTTTTATTTCAATTATAAGTTTAATTATTATCATTCCAACACATTTTATTATTGTTAAATCTTGTCATGTTTTGTCATCGTTCTTCTATATGACAATTCTCATTTTTTCCAGTGATTTGAAATTTGAGCGAACATTTTTTTTAGCTATAAACGGCCTTTTGGTTTTGTCATTACAACTGAAAATGTATCGACAGCACAAAAGTTACTTTTATAATTATAAATATTGGCAAGTACTAAGTACACATCGAACTTTAAATATAGAACACTATTATACTATTATTTTCTAAAAAAAATCTATGTAATTAAAGATATAATACCAGTTGCCATAAATTATATTCTTCAATCGTAAATTGTATAATTTAAAAAAAAAAATCTCACTCGTATCAATATGAAAATTTGATAAATACAAAATTTTGATGATTTAATTTGGTACTGAAATTAAGTGGAAAAGTAGTTATATCAGTTGAAAATGGACCCTGTAGCCGATATATCTCACATCCGATAAAAGAGTTATCAATCTGGCTCTTTTTAATCATGCTGTATTTTCATCGGTCAGGAATAACTGATAAGCTTCATATAAACTTTTTCTATAAATTTTCTTTTACACTTTCTTTTTTTTACTTCACCTTATTAAATAGTACCTAATTTAATATAGTAATATCAATTATCTATTGTGGCAATATCAGGCTATGTCATTAATTTTCCTTTCAAAATGATAAAAATTTTAATGCCATGTGACTGTTAAATATCGAGTTGGAGTTTTATGTTGGAATACTTTTTTGTTAATTTACCAATCTCACCGATTTAACGTGAATATCACTTACTATTACACATATATTTTGCATAATCTTAATATAATAAAGCATAATCATAAAAATTATTACAACAACATACAGTAATATTCTACGTATGACGTAATCATTATTGTTACATATGTTATATGTGGGCCATGATGCTATAAATCTGGATTTTTTATAGTATGGATTCAGCTAACCATTGATATACAAAATTACCAAAATATCAAAACATCTCATAATGAGCGTAAATAGATTACATTATTTTCTATTTCATTTATATATATACAGTATATATATTTGTTTAATTAACGTTCTAATTTTAATTTTTTAAAAATAAGAAATAATAAAATGAATAACTGTAAAAAACAGTAAATGAATGACTGTAAGAAACAATAAATGAATGGCTGTAAGAAGCAATAAATGAATGACTGTAAGAAGCAATAAATGAATGACTGTAAGAAACAATAAATGAATGACTGTAAGAAACAATAAATGAATGACTTTAAAAAACAATAAATGAATGACTTTAAGAAACAATAAATGAATGACTTTAAGAAACAATAAATGAATGACTGTAAGAAATAATAAATAAATAACTGTAAGAAATAATAAATGAATGACTATAAGAAACAATAAATGAATGACTGTAAGAAATAATAAATGAATGACTGCTTCTTAACGAGAAACAACTGAATAGTTTAGATAAAAAAATGAATTTGAAATATATTCTTAAAATATATTGATAAGATATATAACAAATAAATTTAACGCTATACATTTTTATAATATATATATTTTTTTGATATTCCTATATTAATTCTTAACATTACTTAATTAAATAACATTACACTAGTTCCTAAATAACAAACAGCAGGTTTATAATATTGATAAGCAAAAATAAACTAGTGCATTTGCTATAAAATATTAATCTATGGTAACCGCTTAATTCATAAAAAATAGTTTACAAAAAAAAAATCACATGCATGTACTAATTAATTAAACCTTTCGTGAAATCACGTGCACTTTTTTTGTTTTTTCAATTAGGTTATTTAACAGAAAAGCATTAAATGGTCTATACTTATACAATTTGATATTTTGTAACATAAAATATGCTTATCGAAAAAGGGTACTGACAATCAATGTTGAAATAAAATTTACTGTTACACAATACCTTATTTTGTTGTCTATGACCAAAATATATCAATATAAGGAGGATATTTTTGTTATTACGCATTGCAAAATTTGAGCTGTTTTAATATGAAGTGTTCCAAGTGCAAAAATGATAAACTCTCTAAGGAGTTTCCATCAAGTATAATTACAGAACGGTGTAATCATATTCCTTCTTATTGTTTTAGTGTAAGTTTCATGATTTACAATTAACTTTTTTTATTTCCTAAAACGCTATTTTTCTTTCCTATTAATACTTTCCCTTCAAAAATGGTACAAATAATATCAGTGTTTGATAAAAAATTTAGACTTGGCAAATATAACTGATCAAAAAGTTCGTAAATGTCCCGAATGCTCAGAGAAATTATCCGTAAAAGAATTAAAACTAATATCTTTAGCATGGGATAAAGTTTCATTTAAAATTGATGTAGGTAATATTGGAAAGGAAAAAACAAAACAAAATATTAATGCAGCTTATGGAAATAATAATATGGAAGAAATTTATATTGTATTATTAAATGGGCAAAAGTGCTGTTTCCAATACAATCAAATTAAAAATATTCCTATGTTAAGAAAAGAAATTAGAAAAAAATTAGATGTTGATGAAAGTAAACAAAAATTAATTTATAATGGTGTTGAATTGCAGGTAATTTATTAAAATTATTTCATCTTATGTGAGATGGAAACTGATTATTAACCCAATTAATTTAAATTCATTTCGTTATAATTTAAGGATCAAGTTACCACACCTTGTACGTTACAGGATTATAAAATTGAGCCAGGAAGTCATATACAATTGATTGTTGTACTTTATGCAGAATCCATCAAGAGTCTCATCTTTGATCTAACTTGGGGTTATCATGGAAGTATAGATTATTTGAATGGAAGTTGTTTACTTTACAAGGGGTAAATATCACAATTTTTTTTAAGAAATATGATTTAAGATAAACTTTCTCTTGAATTAATTTTGTTACGTTATTTTAGTGATGAATTTGTTAGAAAATACGATTATATGTCAATATTCTATCCAAGATTTCCGGATATGAAACATTCAGGTGATAAGATGGACGAACCAAATAAAAAAGGTAGCCAACGTATTACCGCGAAATTAAATGCATTACCACCTGAAATAACACAATTATATTTCGTTTTGAGTACGTTTACATCCCCTACTATCGGTCATTTTAAAGCTTCAGGTTTTAAGTTGATAGATGAAACTCAACCTGATAAACCTTTATGTACTTATCAATTGGAAAAAGCTGCTGAGTCTCAAGCTGTCATTTTGTGTTGTGTATCAAGAGCTGGACAAGGTATGTGGGAGGTCATTGAGATTGGTAAATTAAGTAGGGGTAGTGTTCACGATTATGATTCAATTGAATATAGTATTGCTCAATGTTCTCTATTTAGATAAATTACATTAGGCTATGTGAAAAGTGAAAACTGTAGAAATATTTTTAGCAAATTTATAAATTTAACCGCTTATTTTGTATGAATTTTTGTATCTATCACTACTGAAAAACATTATTATTAAATAAAAAAATGTTTCTGCATTATATTTAATTCGTTTGTTTTGCCTCATTGAGATGGTACTAGTTGTTTCATATGATACTGCCTGATTTGCTCCTATCTATAGACACTAATAAAATTTGTAAAAGATGTTATTTTTAAAATATTTATTTAAATAATTATTCAAATAACAAATTTACTATATTGATATTAAATATTGATAATTTACAAATAAATAAAAAGTTCGTTGTATGATGCCAAAATACTATTTTATTCCAATAATAAGACTTTAATAATTTACAGTATTGAGTAGTACAGCTCGCCATAATTGAGTTCTTTAGTAAATATAACGGGAAATTGTTGTCATCCTTTATATGAGTTTTCATTTATAATATATTTTCTTATATATTCCAGAAATGACAACGGTCATAGGTCATTAACCAATTATGACCGGTCATGACTGTGACCGAGCTTAGTTGATCAACCGACCGGTTTGACTGTCCATCTGGCCAAGCGTTCGACCGACAGTTTAACCGAGCAATTTATCATGTAAAAGATTTCTATTTTAGACTACTAAAAATTTATACACTAATTCTAAATATAATACTGCGCCCCATAATTAGTAAATTCACTAGGTAAATCACGCATAATCAGGATTTTCATTGCTTAATATTATTGTGTTACATTTGACATTCAAAAATAACTAGAATATGCGATTTGTTGGGGGACTTCGTCCCCCAAACATAACATTTATAATTAAAAAAATTTTTTGATATTGTATGTAAAATATTACCGAATAATAAAATTTTATTATAATTAGACCCTATAAAAAATCATGTTTTTAATAAGGTTTTATCCAATTTTTTCTTAAAAATAATGTTTCTAATCTATATAGGGATACGAAAAAATGCACAATTCCATATCACAAAAATGTATTATTTGCATGATTTGACCATAATTTATGCCAAATTTATATTGATTTGATCACAGAAATTACATAATTTAAGCATAGAATTTACACGATTTGGTTAATGAATTTACTGCTTAAATTACAATTATTAATATTAGTTGCATTTATATGAATTTGATTTTAATAATATTTTACTAAATTATTAAATCAAATATAAAAATAAAAAAAAAATCCTTAGTATCAATGTGATTATAATTAGCCAATAATATAAATTAATTCTTATTATTTAAAATAATGACGTAAGTTGTAATAAGTGTTTTAAAGTTAATACAGCTACAAAAAAATAAAATCTTATGAAAATTAATATTCAAGTGGTTTTAACCTGCCTATACAACTTTCAATTAATAAATGAAGTTGATTTCATTTGTCCAAAGTGGAGATATTACGCTCTAAATTAAAAAAATAGAAAAGAGAGTTAATATCATCAAGAAAAATGCAATTTTCTTTAAGTACTACACCTACATTCATGAAAATTAATATTCAAGTGGTTTCAACCTGCCTGAACAACTTTTAATTAATAAATAAAGTTGATTTCATTTGTCCAAAGTGAAGATTATAGTGTATTTGGAAAAAGAAGTTTAATTTAAAAAAAATTTATATAAAAAAAATGTAATATAAAAATTAAGAACTGAGTTGACAAAAATTTGAGATAACATGAATTTTAATTAATTCTTTCATTGATTATAAATTCAAGTAGTTTAAAATAAAAATAGTAAGAAAAAATATTTTTTATGAAATATCACATTATTTTCTAAAAGAAAGTCTTATAAATTTAATTTGTAATTATGTAATATCCAAATATTTAATCTTACAAATAGAAAAAAATGTAAAAAAAATTTATGATGTTTTATAAAAAAAGAAAAAATTTTAAATTTTTGAAAAAAAATTTCGTCTAACATTTTTTAATTGATTATCACAAGATCTGCATGATCATTTAATTTTTTTAATGAAAAAAAAGAAATATATTTGAATATTTATTTCTTTGAAAATCAATAACGATCAACAAAATTAAATACAAATATAAAACTTATTGCTTGATGCCGCAAGTTAATATGTAGTAAAAGTGGCACAAAAATGAATATTTTGTAATTTTATTCTAATGATATCAAAGAAGCAATATTGCAATATTGCAATAACAATGTCTATAGCAATAGCTATATAGCTATAGTATAAGATTCAACTACGAAGTTCACATGGTGCATTCCCAAAAAGATGAAAATCTGCATGAAGATCGGAAATTAAGCGAAAAAGTGAATAAATAAGGAAGGTCATGCAGGATGATCACCACTTCAAAATCATACTATCGCTAATAATGTAGTTAGCCGTAAATAGTAGTAGTTGAATGAACAAAGATCGACAAGACTCCTACTGTTATAAATACTTGCTTCAATCGCATTTCATGTTCTCTATTCTGTGTTTATAATTCCTAATAATAACATTTAATTTGTTACATTTACATTTATTATTACTTACATTTATTATTATTTACTTTCTTACTTTCTGTATCATCATGGCCAAGAATTTGTCTAATGTAATTACTTTAATGATTGTTTTGGTCATCCTCATAACTGGAACATCTTCAGAATTGATGCGTCGTGCTCAAAACGTCAACAAGGAAGGTTTGGATCTTATTGAGGGATTTGAAGGTTTCTACCCTAATTTTTACAAAGATCCAGTGGTAAGTTCATTTCTTATTAATGAAATAACTAAGTTAAATATGAATCACATTATTTACTATGACACCTACTATGACACCAGGGCATAAAAACTATCGGCTATGGTCATGCATGCCACGTTCATGATTGTAGTAAAATTCAGGCTCCCATCAGTCTCGCTGAAGGAGAAACATTGCTCAAATCGGATTTAGCCGTTTTCGAATCATGTGTTGAGTCACTCACTCGGACTAATCTAAATCCCGATCAGTTCTCTGCCTTGGTTTCATTTACCTTCAACCTTGGTTGTGGTGCTTATCAAAAATCCACATTACGTAGGAAGCTTAACGCTGGTGATACCAAAGGTGCTTCCTTGGAATTTGCAAAATGGGTCTATGGTGGTGGGAAAAAATTGCCCGGTTTGGTGAGACGTCGTAATGCCGAAAGGGATTTATTTTGTAAGAGTGGTGGCTGTTAAAAGTCATTATATATGTGTTTATTTACTTCATTATATTTTTAGTTTTTATAGTAAAGTAGTCAAATAAAATATTTTATAAGTTAGGAAAAAAAAAAGTAAAGTTTTTGCCGATTTAAACGTAAACTATAAGTTTAGTCTTAAATGAGAAATCAATAAATACATATTATCGTTCTGACGTTTTTGATCATGCATTAATTAATAACATCACAAATAAGCTTTCTATAAACTTCATTTTTAATCCACTTTATAAGCTTTATTTAAACTTTTTCTACAATATATTCATTTACGCCATTTTTTTACTTCACTTTATTATATCAATCATGTGTTATTGCTATGGCTAATAAAAATATCGGTCTATGAAAATCTGCATGATCCTATTTGGCTGAACGATAAGCTTACATAATATATTCTTTTTGTTAATTAAATAATTATCGAAACGTGAATTTTTGTAATGATATGCCGTAAAGAATGATGATGATGACATTGACTATTAAATTATGATTTTCGATACCAGTTAGTCAATGCCGATGTTCGTTAACAGATATCTTGACATATCATAATTCCAAAAATTCAAAATCCCAAAACTACATCATTCCCGACATTCATAACACTTTTTTTTTATTTTATATTGTTATTTGTTAGGCGTAGTAATAATTAATCTTTTTATTAGTAATATGTAATAATTTTTAAAAAGTATGTCGCAAAAATTAAAAAGTTTTTTTATTGTAAAAATTATTATATTTTTTTAAACATTAATAATTTTCGCAAAAAAAATCACAAAAATAAATGTTTTAATTAAAAATTAAATTTTTTTTTTTATTTTAAATATTTACAATAATACATTGCGATAATCAAAGTGACAATTTAAATATTTTTTTATATTAATATGCAAAAGTTTTTTTTTAAAAAAAATATTTCACAAAAAATTAATGTTTTGATTTTAAAAATTAATAATTTTAATAATACATCGCTATTAAAATGTCACCGGCCTAATATTATTAAATTAATATAAGTTAAAAAACATTTATTAGAAATTGAACAAGTTCAAAATAAATCACATTTCATATATTTTACATTTTATAGTCCTAACCCTCCTTTAAACTCTTGTTGTATTATAATTTTTTCGTAAATTTTATTAAAAAAAAAGATTCAAATTTAAATAATTATTTACCTAAGGTATTTCATACCTAATATTTTCTCGATTGATTACATTTAAATCATAAAAAGAACAGCGAAAATTAATTTAAAGGAAATGGATTTTTATTGAAAAGTTATTTTATCTATATTGATAAAGCCCTAAAGGATGGATAGTCTAAAAAGAAAAAATCATTCTTTTTTTTTATAACAAATCAATAACTAATGTATAATTACTCAATATGTTGAAATTTATCGTACTGAAATTTATTCTTCAATTTTGAGCTAAGATCAAAAATAAATAATTAAAGAAAAAATATCTTGATACGAGGGGATATGCAATATCCTACCTGTCATGCGCTGATTTCGCGATTATGTAAATTATGTAAACGCAAAATTTTTGTAGATTTTATTAATTTTACCAATTTTTAATACATAAATATACAGTAATTTGCCATTGCCCTAATTTTCTCATTTATATACTTTTACCTAATCCATGAACTAAATATCCTAATTGCAATACCTTAATCCTAACGCAATAATAACACCCTGATCCTAACCTTATTGCATATTATCATGGGGTTTCCTTAATGTATAGTGGGGTGTACGATATTAACGTACGAACTGGCTATTAACGTTAACGCTATCACGTGCAAGTGTATAACTCCTAAATTCTGGTAAGATGTATATACACGTTAAGGCGCCCATTATCATGTACCTCATATTAATGATAAGATAAGCATTTTCTTTATCATACTTTACATTCTTTCGGGACAATTTCGTGATGATACCATGATTTACAAATAGAATATTGTTTCTTATCCCTTTTCTTCTTGTATTCTAAGCTTCTTCCTAAACACTTTCATTTCAGGTTTATTGTCAATATCACTGGATTCACTATCATTTTCATCATATTATTATAGTATAGGAGAAAATCCTGGATATCGTTCATCTAGATAGATAAATATGCTAATAATAAATTTATTTTAACAAATTAAGAAGTTTTAAAGAAAAAAACAACTAATAACATAAATGATTTAAGGAAAATAACATTTATGAACATGAAATTCAATATAAATGAATAGATTATCAAAAAGTAAAAAAAAGCTTATTTACACCAAAGCTCTTACGGAACCAGAAGTATATGATTACAAATATTTTGGTCCCCCTCAATCTAATCATATTGATATTACTCCCGTTCATGCCGATATTATCCTTACTGCTGAGATCACAGCTAACTCTTCAATTGATCCACTGGTTGATGAAATGTCCATAACTCAATACTGTGAAACCTACACTACTAGTTATGGGCTATGATTAATAACAAATTAACAATAAAAAAAATAAAAAAAAAGATTAAATCTGACGGTCCTGCTTCCAGGGAGTCATCGGTATAGTCTGGAGAAGAACTGTACGTTTAGATTGTTGGGTACTATTAGAAAATTCAAGTTGGAATTTTTAGCGATATCTCACTTGTTGGATCTCGATTTGAGTTCTTTTGTATCATCAGACGTTGCAGAATTATTGATAAAAAATGTATAATGGTTCTTGAGATCAAGGCAGGTGTTGGCAAGATGCTACCAATGAATGAAACATCCGTGAGAAAGTGGCGAATGCCAACGCAAATCTCCATAGAACGAGCGTGAAAAGATTCCACCATTGTCACTATCAAAAGCATGATTTAATTACAATTAACAAAGATTTTCATGAAAATATGACAAAGCTAATAAAACGTGAAACTAGAACCAAAGATTTTACTCAACAACAATTATTGAATCTCAGCAAAGTTTTTTCTCATATAGATTCATAAAGGTGAACATATCTCGGGACCCTAGTGCTATGAATTTTCCATTATTAGAATATAGAATAATATCAAGATGTTCAGTATAGGATTAAAAGGTCTTCCAGTTCAATTTTTTTTGACCAGTTTGTCTTTCAATTTTGTCCAGCGAGACTTCGCCTTCCTCAATACTTCCTCTATGCTTTCAAATACTTTTGATGAATTAAGCTTTGTTAGGAAGTTTTTTGACATCATTCCAAATCAATAGATACTCAAAATTATTTAAAAATACAGTACCTTGCATAATGCCTTATGAAACACCTGCTTTAACACGAAAAAAATAATTCTTGTTTGAGAGGTAAAGTATTGGGAGACATTTACGTGGCAGGAACTATAAAGATATGAAGATATTCGCCCTTAGGTAATTTTATTTTTTGGTTGGACTAGTCCCCAACTATAATAGTATTTTTTAACTGAAGGAAAAAGAAAATAAGTAGTGTTAAAACATCATTAAAAAAAAACAAAAAAAATATTTTTTACCTAAAATCTAGTTTGTAATTTCGTCTGGAACTCCCTATAAAAGAAGAAAAAAAGAAGATAATCTAATTAATAAGAAAATCACCTCCAAGAATTGAACTTGGACACAAAAATTGTGGAACCAACGGTGATGGATTTTGTTGAGTTGATAAGTTATTAAGGAAAGAACTCAACAAAGGAATGAAATAAAGGGTATCACATGTGAAGAAGGAAATCACATGAGATAGATCAAATGATCACAAGAAAGGTAAATTTTACAAGACAAAGGATCTCTCTGACACCAATCGCTATGCTTCATGGGCAATGCAAACGATCCCCTTGTAAAAATTTTCTATCTAAGAATGGTCAAGTAATCCCAAGTTGACCAAAGGGGAAAGATTATGTCTCCATGCTATATTTGGTAAGCAATGGGCCAAGCTACGTAATATAATTTTATTTAATTAAGATAGTGGGAGATTAAAAGGAGAATAATATTCACTAAATAGGTTATTTTATAAAGTAGAGAATAAGAAAAGATAAGAATCTGAATTATGCAATTGAGTAAATAAAGAAAATGAAGAAGAATAGATAATAATGTAAATAAAATATGAAAAAGAATTGATAATAATAAATGTTTAAAAGAATAAAATATATTAAATAGATATGAAGGAAGAGAAGGGAGTTGGTTGAGAGAAATGATTATAGTGCACATGAATTTCAATAAGTGAAGAATTAGGACAATTGTATTATTGAGAATGTTGGTATATATGAGGAGAATTATAAAAAGAATGTAAAAAAATCCGGTAAGTAATGGTAAATAAGGTTGAGATGTTTCAATGATAGGTAAAGGATTATTGTAACATTTGTTGATAGGAAATTCATTTAAGATAGTATTGATAGTATTTGGACACAAATGATAATACATTTTGTAATTGTAAGTTATAAATTTGAATTGAAATTTAGGTGATTGTAAAAGTTTTGTAAGATTTGTAAGATTTGAAAAATAATAATATTGAAATTTGGTTTTTGATTTTTTCCTTGAGGAAATTAAGGGTATTTATATATTTTTTAAAACCCTTTAAATACATAGATACATAGTGAATAATAATAAAATAGATAAAAACAATCAAGATTATCTATGAGTCACAATTAATTTATAAGTTATTTAACCTAAACTAGTAATATTAATTGATTTAATGATGACTAATATGTATAATTGTGGCTTATAGTACATAGTTAATATGATTTACTCCCTATAAACCATGTAATTATTAAAGATTATATGATATTGTGCAATATTCCCATCAATATTCCCATATTATTAAAGCTTTTATTAAATAAATTTATTAAAAAATTTTTATTCAAGCTAAATTTATTTTTGATATATAGTTTAGAAATGGTATTAGTATCTCTTGAGTGTACTAGTGTACTTAACACACATGATATATATAACAAGATTAATTAAATACTGTATACTATAGTATTATTTAATAACTAATTATTATAGACGCAAAAACTGATTCGGCGTTTTCATATGTAAACCCATGGGAACTAGGGAGACTATCAACTA